CTTTCCCTAATCCACTTATGTTGACAGGGCAGACAGGGCAGGGATGAGCCCAGTTAAAGAAAAAGCTTTCCAAGAACACAAACGGATTGATGAAATATAATTCTATTAAGAGATCATTCCAATGCTTGAATGGCACTAATAATTGTGTGGGAATCTGAAGCACAGAGATTAGCAGCAATCTTTATTTCCCAAACAGGTTGTCTGTTGAGATGTCGTTACGTAAACTAAATGTTCATGTATTAAGAAGTAATTGTGTGATTTTTGCCTGAAGGGAGTCCCGGGTGGGAAATGTGCACACCCCCATGGATGCTTCGTGGGGGCAGAATCAGGAGGATTGATCCATCTAGAGAAGCAAATTGTGCACATTGTTATTATTGAGTAAATGGGAGCAAACAGATTCCTGTGCTACACCGAGTGCTGCACCAGGTGGATATCTGGGAGGAAAGCAGAGGGGTTGCTGTGCCGGGTGGGTACAGAGCTCCCCGTAGGCATAGGTCTACCCCTGGGGCGAATGCACGGGTCCCCTTTTCTCCCTCAGGGAATACCCAAAATAACATGTGAGCTGCATGGATGCTGAAGATGCAGGTGTGTGGATGCCCTGAGTGGCACCATCCACTGCCTTCTCCTTAGGCTGCCCCCACCAGTGGCTGGGGGATGCTGAGGGAGTGGGTGATGTTGAGGGTGGGTGTCTGGGGATAAGCCTAAAGAAATCCTAACTATATCCTTCATCTGTGCTTTACGTTAAAATCTTCTTTCTCTCTTTTTCCTGCTTCCTCCCCTGCTTCGTCCTCCCCCTCTTCCAGCAATGTGGACACCAAGGAGCTGTGCGGTGAGTGCGGTCCCTCTCATGGGGCAAAAGCAATCGCTACGTGCACGTGTGCTTTCGAAGGGTGCATGAACCCATTCAAAGCTGGCAATGCTGTGGCGGCTGCAGAGCTGGGGTCTCAGCACTTCTGCTGCTTCATCTCTTAGTCCACAGGAAAATTGGCAAAACTTTTCTTCATTTTCTTGCAGCACAAATGGAGTCAGAGCTGAGCACCCAGCTCCCGTTCAGTACAAAGCCGGAGTTTAATTTCTGGCAATGTCATGGCTCCCAGCTCTGCTCTGAAGTTCAATAAACCAGTATCGCTCCGTGAGACCCACAACGTGTTTCTCCCTAGGCAAACCTTCGTGTTTCCCAGCAGGCTGCCTCAGGAGCACACCACCTCTGCTGCACCTCCCACGGCTCGCAGAAATTAAAGCCTGAAAAGAAAAAATCTCTGATAACGTTTTGTGCCACACCTTGACTAAAAAGGGAATATTTCCTGCTGGGATTTCTGAAGGGCTTTGCCTCCACGTGAGGTGACTCCTGCACAGGGCTCCTGCTGCTCGCTCGGGTGTGTTTTTCTTTTAAGCCCTTGCTGTCCATTGCAGCCTGGGGGTCTGCCCACATGAGGACATTGCCTGGGGTCTCTCCCCTCCTGGTGTACTTAACCCCACAGGATTTTGAGTATTCAGGCATGCAGCACCCTTTTAACTGGTTATCTCTGCTTCTTCTTGTTTTGGTACCCAAGAAACTAAGCCTTCCATGAAATCCTTTTGGTTTGCCAATGGTACGATGGACTTGTTCCCATCGCTCCTTTTTCATCATGTTAGGTCTCCAAAACCCTACACCTCATACCACCAACTTTGCCAAGAAATACAGGGGTAGTAATGTGTTGCTTGGCCTCACCCTCCTTCCTTTGTCAGTCTGATAAAATCAGAATATCACACGGCTGTCACCCAACGTGATCCCACCTCGCTGGGGGTGAAGCTGCCAGGAGAGGAGGGAAATAAACCCATCACCTCCTGCAGGAAGCTAGGGGGTAGGATTGTAGTAAATCTGCTTATCTGCTGCATTCCTTTTTTTTTCCTGCCCTTGCCTGCAATGTCTTATTTGCTTGCCACTCTTCTAAGGGTTTATTTAAATAGAAAATTTTGGTTTGGGGAAATGGAAGCTGTGGTCTCTCTCTTGAAATGGGTTGTGTGTTGTAGGATGTCGAGAGCATCTTAAAAGGGATTTTGTGATCCCTGCAGCTTGTATGAGAAATTTGGTATGGCTTAATCCAGATCAGGTCGCATCTCACAAAGTTCTGGGTTTTTTTTTCCTGCCAACAAATGCAACAATCCTAGACTGTCTTAAATACAGCTGTGTAGCTGTTACCCCCAAAGGAGCTGCCAGTCATAGCTGAAACCACTTAATATGCCCAGAAAATGCCCATACAGCTGCCAAATTGTACCTGCCACCCTTCAGTTTAGATGAAACACAGGCATTGCATGCAGCAGTACAAGCCATCCAGAGAGCCCAGATGTACCCTACAAACAGGGGATGCATATCAGCCCCTTGCAAACCGCTGGGGTGGTGGCTGGGGGCACCCACCTCCTCCCACACCAGTGCCACGTTGCGGTGGTGCTCGTCATCTCCTGAGCATCCATCCCATTGCTCTCTGCAGGTGTGTAGGAGCCATGAGCAAGATCTGTGTAGGGTAGGAAGAGCTGATCTCAGATGTTCCTATGAATAAATAACACTAAAACAGTAGAACTGAAGACTTTGGTTAAATTCTCCTCCCAGGTGCTCCCTGGTTGGTCTCCAGGGCTGTGCTCTGCCCACAGCAGCTCATTTCTTCTGAAGTACAAGGGCCTAGCTTCTGATTTCAGGACTTAACAAAACTGATTTTCCTTTACCTTTAGGTTCTGCTCGGCTTTTCTTTCCCGATTAATCAGAAGGATAACACAAATAAACACGCTGCAGTGAGAATAAGCTGTTTGGCTTCACACAGAACAGCAAACAGCTGCTGTCAATCACGCTGTGACATTCCGGTTTCTGCCAAAATCCTCTTCCCCTTGGATATGTTCTCAGGCTGTAAATAGCTATAGGCACTTCTAATTAAGCCAAGAGAACCTAATTAGTGGGGTTGTTTCCTGGAGTTTATGTCTTGTTGCATTCCACAGAGATGTCACCTCGGTGTGAAGCTTCGTGTCGTGGTGCTAAGGAACGGCGCTGGTGGCTTTTAAGGAACAGCTTTTAGCTGTAATCGGTGTCAGTCACCCAGAAACTGCGTAACTTCACGTCTATACCACAAACTCACTGCGTGCTTCGCTGCCGCGCTTCACTTCTCAGTGAATTTCAGGACTCTGCATCTTGTGCATGAAGCAAATATTTGGGTGCTTTGAGTGGCAAAGACTGTCAAGGGAATGGAAAGGGCATTACTTCTGAGACTTCTCCCTCCATGCTGGCAGTAGGAGGGATGAAGGCAAGATACAGTCAAATGCAGAAGTTGGCATGGAAATAAAGCACCTGTTAAGTTATTCTCAGTGGGAGCTACTGTGCCTTACATCTCTTTCTTATGATGGTCCCAAACTTCATGAGAATTGCACCACTTGCCGTCCCTGCAGGACTAGTTGTGACTTTGGGTCAGGATATAGAATACAGAAATATCCCTGAAACCACACTCTCAGGTTTTTCTTTCCACCAATAAATAGACCTTACTGTGTCGTGTAGCCTCGAAGAGTTAAGTTACATCAACATTTCCCATCATGTCCTTCTTGTTTTTTCCCCAGACTATTTTGCTGACCATATGGGAGACTACGAAGACGTCTTGGCCTCGCTGGAGTCGCTGAACCTCTCCATCCTGAAGGCAATGGACTACACCAAAAGGGTGAGTCCTCCTTCCTGCGCCTGTGCTCCACGGGCTCAGAGCAGATGGTGCAAATGTTAGCAGAGCATCTAAACCCCAAGGTCTCCATCCTATTCAGCAGCGTTGTCTCCTTGTTCCGTTGCATTTGTAAGGTAAGTGGATGATGGCAGTAACAGGATGACAGTGGATTTTTTGTGTGTTAACAGCAAATGAATCTTGAAATCTTGGCCAGATTGTGAACCAGGGTTTTGTGGCAGAGCCTCATACCTTCTCAGCACCCTTCCTCAGTCATGACAGGCAGTGCTCACTCTACTGTGGCTCAATGCTCTGCATTGCCTGAAGCTCGAAGGAGCTCCAGTTGTCTTCAGACAACACGGCCCATGGGTCTCTTGGGTGGCATTTTGAATGCGTGAGTTCTTGTTAGCATCATTATGAGTAGTTTTGGAAATGCCATATTATAAAGCTGCTGTTAAATACAGCTGCTGCGTTAGAAGCTAGAGGGCTGTATGTTTGCAAGACTACAGGGGAAACGCTCTGTTTTGTATGTGCAGGGGACCGCCAGCTGCTAAAATCCCACCACGTACCTTAATGTTACTGTTAGTAATGGACAGTAATATATAGTATAATAGTAATATATTCGTGATATTTATTACCTCGGGATAATCAATCCTTCTCCCACTTCTACCTTTAAGCATATTTGCATTGTTCTTTTGTGCCACGATGAGAGAAAAGCAGTCTTCCTCGTCACTGGTGAGCAGTAATGCGATGCACTGAGGACTGAGCCAAGGAGGGAGGTTTTGCTTTTCCCAAGCACCTCTAAGGGCTTCCCGACTCAACCCCAGTCCTCCTCTGAGTAATCCAAATTGAAATCTCCCTTGCATTTATCTTTGAGGCTACAGGAGAAACTCAAATTGCTCCACATTACAGATCTGGTAATGATAAGAAGTTTTAGGAGTTAGAATGGGAAACAGCAAATGTTTCTCCCCGCTGGTTGCTGGGTAAAGAGCCTGATTTCCTTGCTTTATCCAAATCCTTACTTTTTAATGTTTGTGAGGAGGGCAGCGTGGAAAGAGCAGCCATGTATTTCAGAAGTTGACGTCTTGCTATAATAAACTAGAGGCAAAAGTCTGGCCAAGCACTGATCTCTCAAGTGTTTGTGAATTTTGTAATCAACACTTAGGAGAGGGTTAAAAATATCAGGACAAGAGGGATAGTTCATTTTTTTTCTAATTAAGTTGCTGAGTCTGTTCGTGCCTCATTTATATTCATTATTAGCAAATTTTCTGGCAGTCCGATTTGCCAACTATGTACTTTAAATATGTGTTAACATGCTAATAGATATCTTAGTAATTCACTCCAACTTGCTATTCGTGATGACTTCCACCACTGCTTTTCGCATGTGAGGTTAGTACATATGGCTAATTCCTCCCAGTATTTTGCAAGAGGAAGGTGGCTTATTCCCTGTTTATAGATCAGGCATCTGAGCATGTGGGTATTACCTTGCGTAAGAAATCCGCAGCAGAAGCAGGATGGTTATTCATAATCCAAATCCACTGGCTTCATAAGAGCATCTTTCTCCCTCCTTGATTCAGCAGCTTGTGGCAGGATTCACCTGCCTTAATTGCAATGGATAAAGATGATTTACCTGGATCTGAGCTGGTCATCCTTATTATGATCTAGTAGTTCAATGGAGGGAATGGGGAGTGGGATGTGCTGCTCTTCATCACCTGGCAAGGTTTTTAGCAAGGGAGCTGATGGAGTGAGACTCCTTCAGGGAGAGGAGCTGGCAAAGATGTAATTCATTGAAAACATCAGCTCCCTGCTGCGATTTTGTGAACAAAGTGGTACAAACCTCATCAATGAATTATTCAAACATAGGCACTTTGTTCAGGTAAAGAACTGAAGGGAAAAAAAAACGCCTAACAACAAAACAGAAAATAAGCTGCTGTAACTGGTAGATAAACTCATCTCCAGTGTTCAGATAAGACAGACGTCCAGGCAGCAGCAGAAGCTTTTCCCAAGTGCAAACCACAGTGCTTGTTTCTTTTGAGATCTGAAATATTTCACTATCTGTTTTCACAAAAAGAAAAAAACCCAAAAAACTTGTTTACTAGACTTTCTGGTTTTAGTGTCAGAGAGTTAGAAGAAGACTTCATATTACCTGAACTGATAGAATAATCTGCCTGCAGTCTTCTCAACAGATTCCAGCCCTGCATTCCTGTACCCACCCCGCACTGGGGGTTGTTTTATGTCCTCCAGGTTGGGCTCCCACCCCTGGGCTAAGGCCTCAGCCCCAGGGAGAAGGCTTTTAATCCCAGGACTGTGAAAACCAGTGTCAGCTTCCCTGTGCTGATGTCAGGGTGTTTAGGAGATACGTACATATGACTGTATTTTTAGAAATACTGGATCAAGGAAAAGACTGGCAAAAAAGCAGGTTTGGTAGGAGCCAAGTATGGTTCTGTGCCCTCCATGGCTCAGGCCCATTGCTGATTCTCTGCAGCTTTTCCCCAAGGCTGCATCCTGCGAAGGGCTCAGTGCTGATGCTGAGCACCGTGACCCACAAGACATGCTCCTGCTTCTCCCTATTGAAATAAGCATTTCATCGGCTGGAGAAAACTATCCATCATTTGAGACTGTTCCTTATTCCCTTCTTTTCCCCTCATTTAAAAAAAGTACTTATTGCAAATGATAAATGAAGCCTAACCTTCTCCTCTGGTGGCTTTCTGAGGAGAGGTGCCTGCTGATGAGAGGGGCTGGATAGCCATGGTATTTAATTGCTGTTGATATTTCTCACCTTAAAAAGACAACTGATTATTTCTCGCTCATAAAAAGAGAAAGCAGCAATTATCTGGTGTTGGAGGAGCTCATAAAGTATCAGCAGTAATTAGATTCAATAGTGGAAGGTCTCATAGAGCAAAACAAAAATCTGTCATTGTAATTATTTTCTGATACGGAGATGTCCATGCCACATTGAGATGACTGCCAATGACAATGGGAAATGCAAAGTTAAATTGGAGAGAAAGGAAATTAACTTTCAGGACCTTAAAAAAAAAGCTGACAGTGGGAGATGTTCTTATATAGTTCTCGTTTCAGTGCAGTCAGCAAATATCAAAACCAACGTGACTGGGAAGGGCATGGTTTGTGTGTCCTGTATGGGTGGGAGCAGGTTGAGTTGTCCTTCCCATTTGGTTACTGACCTAGTGCCTCGGGCTGCCCATGATGGGATGGTGTCCAGCGAAGCCACCACCATCCCTGCCAGCCTCAAGGGGAGCAGGGGAACAGCCCCGGGGAGCTGGAGGGAGAGTGGTTACCACTGAACACCACCCTCACCCAGACGCCCCAGGAAATGTGCTTTACCTTGGTAAAAAACCCACATTTTGTGGTCTTTTGAACCCGAGAGGCTCAATTAGCCCCGTTCCTGTCGGATATGGCTTCCACCACCTGCTACACTGGGGTTGCTCCTGCTTTTGCCAAATAAGCGTCGTGCAGCGCTGAGCATGGAGACATTAGCACAGCTGACCTTTAGCGGTGAGGAAAACTTTAAAAGCAAGCTGCAAAGAAGTCCCAAAAATGCTGAGTGAGAAATGCTCTCAAGGACAAAGCAGCTCAGATTGAAGGTCAAATCGTTCCTTCCTGAAGAAGTTCCCTGTTGAGCACCAGACAGGTCCAAGAAGTGCTGATAACTGTCCTTGGCATAGACCTGTCCCAGCTGGAAGAAGAGTGCTTGGAAAGCAAAACTGCCCAAAATTTGAGCTGAAATTGCAGCACTCTCCTGAGCACATACTGAAATAAAGTGGAGATGATCCTTCTGGTGCTCATGGATGCGGTGCAGGGAAAGTCTGTGCTGTTCTGCTTCAGTGAGGGCCAGAACAGGGCAAGCAGAGCAGGGGAGGGAGGTGCTGACAAATCAGAGGGGATTCGGAAACTGAATTCAGGGAGGAGTGAAGGGCAGCAGGAGGGGTCTATGGAAGAGGCCTGAGGACCTGCAGGTGGCCCTGGACCACCCTCTGCTTGATCTTCAGCATCACCTTCAGTCCTGGAGGGGAGCAAAAGGAGATGTCAAAGACAATGTTTCACTCCTTGCTTGCTTGCTGCCAGCTCCATTGCCAGTCTATCGCTTGCCAGAGTCCTTTCTGTCTCATTTAATGGTCAGGAGTGGAAATAAGCCCAAGTGGTGACACACTGCACAGCCCCGAAAGCCTTCTCATGTCAAGCAGCCAAATACCACACACGTGTCTTATGGACAGGGACCGTACCCAAACCAGCTGCAAACACATTTCCCCTTGAGAATTGTTATTTAGATGAGAGAATATGTAAATCATAAAGGGAAAACTGAGTGCACTGACCTTCCGCACCAGCTGTGGGTACTCCAGCAGCACCAGGGAGCCCAGAGGTATATACATACGGGTGAATAGTTTTGCATACATTGTTTGTGAGTTAAATTGTTTCTGCTGCAATTCACCCCTCTCGTTTCTGCCTCATGAAATGCTGTTGCTGAGCGCAGGAGATGCAGGGTTCCTGGGGCTCAGCAGAAACCACTGAGGTGGGCCTCCTGTCCCCACTGCCCATGCTGGCGTGGCCACGTTCTCCCCCAGCAATCAGCCACCAGCAGCACCATGCAAAGGAGAGCTTGTTTGAGCGGCTTGGTTACAGCCCCAGAGCAAGCGCCATCTGCCACCAGTCTTGGACGCTGAAAATGATGGATGGTGGGGTTTTTCTCGTTTTACAGCACAGCAATGCAGAGTGCTCTCATTTGCATTCTTACCTGCCAAAATTAAGCTTGCCAAATATGATATTGCTCTTTTTTGAATGACGACACCACGAGATAAAATAGTCAGTAGAAATAATCCTTTAAAATAATCTTTTCCTCCCACCCTCTCGCTAATCCTTCATCTCATTCTTTCATTTTACTTGAGCAGGTTTTCTCCTGATGAAACCTAGTGCTCATCCTGAGGTCACCTGCATCCCCTTGCTTTGCTGCAGCGGGAGGCTGGCCCGTGGCAGGGTGTAACAGCAGTGTGGTGGTACCAGCTCTGGGTTGTACTTGGCCCAAACAGCGTGAGCAGCTCCAGGCTTCCCATAAACGTTGTGAACTGGTCCTGACTCGGCTCACAACAAAGCATGGCGAGCATCAGCTGAGCTCTCCTGCTCTGGGCTTGAAGCTCATGGGGTACCACTGCAGCGCAGCACATCTGTTGCTTCATCTTTCCTCCTTTTCTCCTTTGAAAAAGCACTTCTCTGGCTTCCTTGCTGCCTAACACGGGAGTATCTTATGTCCTGGTACTTTGTACCTGTCTGTACCCTGTCCCGCCCACGCTGTCATCACCTTGCCCCTCAGAAGCACTTGGCCCTCCTTTAGGGCTCAGATTGGCCAGTTTGCCTTTCCTGGGGGCTCAGATCATTGTCCATCCTCACCTCTGCAGTGTGGAGATGTGCCCTGATGTTTTAGGAGTTGTTCTAGGGATTATTAGCTGCTTTTTTTTTTTCCTCTTCCGTGGATGGGTGATTTTATGATGAAACACCAGCTTTGAAACACTTTTACAGTGCAGTTAAAGATGTATTCATGGTGAGTGGTTTTGGCTGAAAAAAGAAAGAAGCTGCAATGGGGCTGAGTCATCTTTCTGTATATTTTGAATGATACATTGCTGAGCAATATCTGTATCAATTTCTACAGCAAAAAAAAAATGATGTGGATTTCTGGAAAAGTTACAGGACTTTATAGTTCAAGAATAATCTAAAAGGAAACAAAGCATATGTGTCCAGCTTCTCAGAAAGTATTTCTGCAATTCGTCTCTGAAGTTAATTTCAGAAAATATTGTGCCACAAATTCAAGCGAAAAGTGCTACTGCAGTTCTGCAAGAACTTAATTTTCCCCAACTTTCCTGTCCAGGCTCCAGACCACAAAGCCGATTCTCCACGCGATGCCATCCAGAGTGATTTCCTTGCCAGCCCCACAGGGCTGTGCATGAGATCCAGCCAGACTGCCGGGGAGCACAGCGGGGCTGGCGGGGAGATGAATCTTAAGAAGGTCTCTCTTGGAGCTTATTTTTAGGCGAAGATGTTTATTCACTGCTCTTCCTCTTGTCTGTCACTGCAAAATTCACGTCCCTTCTCTTGCTCTAAGAAGGAAAAGCATCTTCTCTGGAGGTCCTGCTTGTGCTACCCTGGCTCATGGACCTCCTGTAGGATGTGGTCTTCCTCCTGCCTTCTCCTGTATTAAGGCTATTGCTTCTGGGATTAGATATATGGTATGGCGAAGGAAATAAATACACCAGACATCAGTGCAAGATGTAGTCCAAGAGCAGCTTTGAAGGAGCCACCCAAAGGAAAGGCAGGGATCAAGACAACACACAACCAGCTGGTACAACCCGGCTGAGCCTTCAGCAGCTTGACCATCCCACGTCGCTGCGTCTGCAGGGTCTTGTGAGTAGGTCCTGTTTGGAAAAAAAAGTCTGTACTTTCCTTGAAAAATTTAAATAAAATATGTATTAATTTACTCTCTTGTGGTTACTAAACACAGCTGATTAGGGATTTGTGTGAAGGGAAAGGCTAATTATAGCCAGAGTGTTCAGAAGGAGGAGGCCACGCTTCATTTCCCAGTCTGTTCTTTGCCAGCTAAGTGGACAAGGTGTAAAAAGTGCTGTATGCCTCTTGATCCATAGGTGAGCTCAGGGTATAGCCCATGCATGGGCCAGCAGATACCTGCCCTTCACATCCACGTGGCTGCAATGAGACATAGCAGGGTTATGGTACAGCAGGGAGATTTTCTAATAATGAGGAAAAGAAAGTCCTCTGATAAATTGTTTGGGAAGGGTCCATGGCAGGAGACCTTCAGGATCAGATGAAGCAAACGTGAGCCAGGAAGGGTCCAACGCTGAGATTTATAAAAGGAGGATTTTATAGCAGAAGATTTTAAAGACACATCTGATGCTGTCGGGTCTTTTTATCTGAACAGGTGTCTCATTTGGTTTTTTAGGACTGTTTCAGGAAGGCTGAGGGTCTTTCATATGTTAATGCTTTCATTTATCAACTATTTAAGTGTCTGTTCTCTTCAGGTTTCTTCTACTGGTTATGTGCCAGGCAATCAGTTTTGGGTCTCCGCTTCTGAAGGGTTTTAAGAGTCACGGGGAAGGAAAGGAGCGAGAGGAAGGTCTGAGTGTTATTCTAATTATAAGAAAATATCTCCGGGAAGAAAACAGGCAATTATGAGCAACGAATTTGAATCAGCCACTCAGAGGTTACAGCATGCCACATGCTTGGTTTTTTAAAGGGGTGAGTGGGTGGAAGATAACCTCTCCATCATCCTGGGATGAGGTTTGACAGAGGAGTTTCATGGCCATGGCAATGGATTTGTTGTCGGGTTGAGTTTTTTTGAACTGGAGGAAAAGAATGGATGAAACAGAATTGGCTTTGGTTTCCATTTGAAAAGCCTCCTCGGTTCAGTGCCATTGCTCTGCGGGCAATAAAAATTAGGGAAGCCATCTATGTCCCCAGGCTTGGTAAATGTCAGCCAATTTGGCCAGTCTCGCTGGGAACCGGCACTGGAAAGCCTTGTTGGTCAGGCTGCAGTGCTGCAAGGCAAAGGGAAAGGTGCAGGGTTGTCTCGGGGGGGTCTCCAAGTCCATGGGTGGCGCAGCATCATTTATATTTTACATCCTGTAGTCTTAAATAAATAGTTAGTGACCTTTAAAAATGCCAGCAAAGAAGCTTTGAGATGCTCAACAACATCGAAAATCTCCTTTTTCAGTCATTTGATAGCCACAGAAACACGGCCATGAGAGCCCAGTTTTGGGCTCGATGCTGCTGTGGGCAAGTCCAAGCACTCAACAAACCCCAAAAAGAAACCCAGCCGTGATTTGCACTGGCATCACATCCCAAGGGTGTTTCCATCAATTTGGACAGATCTGGGGCAAGTGCATGTGGAAATAAAAGCTGGAAGAGCCATGGCAGGTCTTTGGGCAGCCTGCGCCCCAATGTGTGCAGGCGCTGTGCATGGGAAGGTGCATTACAGGCACATAAAAAGCCTGTGATGTGAAGAGAGGGGTGAGATTTGGGGCTGTGGATGTAGCAAAGGCAGAGATGCCGTTTTTCACCCTCCTCTGCCTCTTTGGTGGCCACCGTGCTCCTTCCTCAACCAATGCTTGCCAGCAAAACATTCTGCAGCAGGGTAGGATCTGCGATGCCAAAGTCTTTCTAGCCTTGAACTAATGGACGAGCTGGATGGAAAAGGGCAGGCTTGGACATGTGCCCCTTCAAGAGCTTCTGGCATGAAGCAGCTTCATTGAGCAGCAATTATTATATTATCTCCATAAATATTTTAGCTTCTCAAGCAAAGCGAGGAGGAAATAGCTCTTCAGGGTGAAATTAATAAGACCAAACCTCATTAAATCTCCCTAGGACAGACTGACAAATGTTTTAATAAGACGATGGGAAGGATTCCTTTGGCGCTGGTCTTCTTAATGACTTATTTTTGCAACACCAAATAGGACATTTGTGGGAGGAGAGCCCAAGGGATTGCTGAAAAACCTCCAAGCACATGAGTTTCAGAGCAAATGTCACAGCTGGGTTGGCAAATGGGGAAAAAAACACCACTGTTGTTTTAATATCAGAGCTATTGGACTTGCTGGCCTGCCTGGGATAAACAGCACTGAGTGGGTGTAATATCAGCCCATGGGCTCAGGGCATCCTTGGGAGATGTGGTCTGAGATTTTGGTGACTATCAAAGAAGAGTACAGGGCAGCGATGGTGCAGATCTCTCTGGAAAGGGACATTAATGGGGAATTACTGCATCCTTCCAGTGCAGTAAGTGCTTTGAGCAGCAGTGAGGGGACCTCGGAGCACAAGGGCAGCCCCCAACTCTGGACACCTCGGGCACTTGCATCCAGCCCCCATGCTCGGGAGGGCAAATCATGTCCCAGAAATCAGCGCTCTTAATTAAAAGATTGATCCAATCGGCCACTCGAAGAGAAGCGCATAGCTCCACGTTTAGCAGCAGCAGGGGTGTGCAGGTCTGTATTCTATGTATATTCTATGTGTTCTATACATATATATATGTTCTAATATATAATATTCCATAGGTCGAGAGAGGTTCTCCTCCCCCTCTACTCTGCCCTGGTGAGACCGCATCTGGAATATTGTGTCCAGTTCTGGGCCCCTCAGTTCAAGAAGGACAGGAACTGCTGGAGAGAGTCCAGCGTAGGGCTACAAAGATGATCAAGGGAGTGGAGCATCTCCCTTGTGAGGAGCGGCTGAGGGAGCTGGGGCTCTTTAGTTTGCAGAAGAGGAGACTGAGGGGAGACCTCATTCATGTTTGTAAATATTTAAAGGGTGAGTGTCACGAGGATGGAGCCAGGCTCTTCTCGGTGACAAACAATGATAGGACAAGGGGTAACGGATACAAACTGGAACACAGGAGGTTCCACTTCAATTGGAGAAGAAACTTCTTCTCAGTGAGGGTGACAGAGCCCTGGCCCAGGCTGCCCAGAGAGGTTGTGGAGTCTCCTTCTCTGCAGACATTCAAAACCCGCCTGGACGCCTTCCTGTGTAACCTCATCTGGGTGTTCCTGCTCCGGCAGGGGGATTGGACTGGATGAGCTTTGGAGGTCCCTTCCAATCCCTGATGGTCTGGGATTCTGTGATTCTGTGATATTCCACGATGAGTGATATCGTAGGCCACAGCTGCCCTCCGCTGAGGCAGCAATCAGATCCCCAGTGCTGGCAATCAGAGCAGGGCCAGGTGCGAGAGTTAATCAAAACTGACCTGTAATTATAGCAGAGCCTGTTTGACCGCCTGATTAATATATTTACGCCTTCATTTTGGGCAGGCTGCTGGTTGCAGGGAGGGACGTGAATCGGGGGAGCAGCCATGGAGGAGAGGAACCACAAAAGAAGTTGTTTCAGATCCCGAATGCAACGATATGTCTTTGCCAAGGAGATTTATCGATTTAATACACCTTTCTTAGCTAGAGTGTGGGTACTGGGGGATGTATTAAATGATAAAATAATTACCTAGGCAAAGGGGTGGATTTGGTCCAGTGTGGGGCTCTCTTCAAAGCCTTTCAGCAGAGGATGATGAAGGGTGAAGTATCTTCACAGTGAATTTAAGACATTGTCCATACAGAATTGTTCAGATGTGATGTGTATCTCTGTGTGTTCATGTATAATATGGTGCCTGGAAAGAATACACATACACACTTATATACACAGCATATATTACACATTGTGAGCAAGTTGTGAGTATTTTCCTAGGGAGAACAGCAATCATCCAGCTCTCCAGGAATATTTGTGACTGCATTCAATTATTTTTTCCCAATCCAAATGCTCAGCAAATGTTTCCCCATCACTCCCTTGGCACTGTTGCTGTTTATTTGTCTGGTGCCTGTGCCTCCCACGGAGGGGACCTGGTGTGGTGCTGCACCAGTCCGAGGTCCCTGCCTGCACAGGGCAAGGGGAAACTGAGCAGGACTCGTCAGGAGATGTCAGAGCTCAGCACGGTGGCACCAACCTGGTGTTGGTGGTGGTTTTCGGTCCTGGTCCAAAAAGCCCAGCAGCAAACCCCTCTGTAGCGGACAGTAAAGCACAGGCAGCCCCGGGAGCCTACATGGTCCCATCTGCTGCTCCATTCTTTGGTAAATTAAGGCAAAAATCCCAAAGAGGAGAGCGAGGGAAGCATAAATCTTCAGTTCGTGCCACTCAACAGTGCTACGGCAAGCAGCTGCAGGAGATCATGAATCCATCATGAATCGTGCGTGTCCCCCAAAACCCTGTGACTATGACAGGGAAAGACGCGAGTTTTTGTGTTAGAGAGAAGGCATTAACCACCAGTTGGATGCTCAAGAAGCTGTCAAGAAACTCACGCTCGCCTACCAAATCAGGGGTGAGAAATCAGCTCTGCGACCAGTTTTCCCCAGAAGCGTTTTGTCCTCGGCTCATTCTTCTTTTATGATTTAAAATAGGAGATAAAGGCCCTCTGGGTTCTTGTGGAGCTGCTCCAGTTGCCATGGAAATGACTCTTGTTAAGCTCTTTGCCATAAAACAAGAATAATTTGCTTTGGGAAGCCTAGGGTACTCATGTTGTGCCAGTGCGTGCTCACTGGTGATGCTGGGACCACTCCGGTCTCACCTCCGAGCTTGGTCATTGCTGGTGGCAGGCAGGGAGCCAGGAGCATCTGTCCTCATCTCATGGCACCAAAAAAACCCACATTTTTTTTTAGCTCTAATGCCCTAAGCTTGTTATCTTCAGCCAGACCTGGTGTGGGCAGTGGCCAGCTTGGGCTGGTTGAACTGGAGTCAGACCAGTTGGACCAGTTTGGGTCTGATTGTGCCAGTGTCCCATCTCTGCTGGTGGCTGGCAGGAGGTGGAGGAGCAGGAGCGTGCCATGGGCAGGATGCAGCAAGGCTGTGCTGGGGAAGGGGCCCTGAGTGCTTTACGCATTTAATATATATGGTATTAATATATACAGCAAATATTTTAATGTCTATTAAAGTAGATTTTTATCTATTATTTTAATATATATTATCATATTATATTATTTAGCAGGTGTTAAACAGCAGTTAACAGTTTAACAGTTGCTCATAAAACATTTTATGAAGTGAGGGGGGACAGTGGGTGCTCATTCCTCATGTGGCCCTTGGGGACAAGGAGGGGACCAGCTCGGTCGTGGGATGCTGGGCGGATGCTGGAGTAGCTGGGGTGCTACAGCTGGGTCTCACCGCGCTCGCCCTCTGCCTTGGCAGGGGTACGGGAGGGGCAGGGCGGGGGGGCCCACTTTTTTTTGAAGGAGACGGCGAACCAGACCCAGTCGCTGCTGAGCTCCGTGGAGAGTGCTGTGGATGCCATCGATGAGCAAACCAACCCTGCCAGGTCTGCAGCACCTCCTTCCTGCTTCATTTTGGGGCAGGGGGGGAGGAAGAGGAGGAGGAGGATGGTTTTACCGAGCAAGGGACAGTGCAGCAGACAGTGTGCCGGAGAAAGGGGAGCCAGGCTGAGCTTGGAGAAGGTGAACGAGACAATTTCAAGATTTCTCAAGTGGTGGCAGGGCTAAAAATCTAAGGGTTGCCTGGCAGCATAGCCCAAACCTCAGCACAGCATCCCTTTGGTGTCACAGTGTCACTTACCTCCCCTGAGTACCACCGTCACCGGCTGTAACCAGGGCAGGTTACCACGGAAACCGTTCATCAGATGCTCATGAAGCAAATCCCTCTCCTCCCATACCTGCAACACAGGAGGATGTGGGATGCACGGGGTGAGGGGGGTGCCTTGGGGATGCATGGAGAGATGCCCTGGGGATGTGTGGGATGATGCCTCGGCTTTCCCGAGCCGTGGGCTGGCAAAGGAGGCCAAGGCACATGGACCACAGAGAGGGAAAAAATCCCAGCTTCCTGCTGGGACACTGCAGGGGCTGGCGTGCCCGAATGCGTCACCACAGCCAGGTCTTGGCATTTTGGGTTTTAAGATCCTGGCCAGGTGGCAGTGGGGTGGTCTCACAGGAGCTGTTGGGCTCTGGACAGCTCTGGTGACATCTCAGCAACTTTCCTAAGGAAAATGCTCTGAGTTTCATCACCCCACGTCACTTCCTTCTCCTCATTTTGGAAGGAAACCGCTGGCCTGTGGCAAACCTTGTGCAAAACATGTGGGAAAAGTAAGAGCTCCTGGGAAACAATGAGGAGGATACAAGCCCAACATCAGACAGAGCAATTAGAGCCCATGAAAGGCTTTGCTGGCTTTTATTTCCCAACGTGTGGGCCCAGTTCATAATGAGGACTACTGTAGTTCTTTTCTCATGGTGATAACAGCAAAAAAAAACAAACCCAAGGAAAACCAAACCCCACATAAAATGATCTCATGCATCCTCATGAAGACAAAGAGGTGGCCTGAAAAGCAGCAAAATAAAGAGCTGTAAAACAAGTGCGAGAGCAGAGTCTGAGACACCTCATTAAATTGTGATTAAAAAGAAATTTCTGTCTGTTCTCGCCTAATTTCCTGCCTATTGATGGGGGATTATTTGGCACTGGCAGTGGGATTATTGCACAGCCTGTATGGATGGGGATGTTCCTGCCACCTTTATCACTGTTCTTGTTTCCTTATCTGGAGGATGCTCTTCAGGACCAGCTCATCATGTCCCTGTGTGTGTGTTGGGGTCCACACTGACTGGTTTTGGGGGACAGCAGCAGTCTGGACATCACTCCCTCAACACCAGAGGAGCAAGCCAAAATTGCCTGGGTTAGCCAGAGAGGGTAGAGAGGGCACCCTGCTGCTGTGTGATGAGGGAACGGGGTGACTGGGGTGGTAGAGGAGGGCAGGGATGATGCTGGGCAGTGTTGTGCCCATCGACCCCCTGGTGCTTGGTGTGCTGTCTCCTCCCAGGCACTTCCATGTGCAGGCAGCCAGCACGGAGCTGCTCTTACGACAGAAATGCTGGAAACCCTTTGAGCAGCTCAGTCTCTCTCTCTGCAGCTGAGGTTTCCCATTGGTGAAGGAGGAAGGAAAGAGAGGGTCGTCCTTCCCAAAGCCCATTCCCATAACCCATTGCCATCTCACCACACATGTATGGTAGCTACAAACCCTCATTGGGATGACAGGTCTTAGCATCTTCTCTGGCTTGCAAGTGAATGAAGGCTTGAAGGGGCGACCACCGAGGAGCTGAGGCTGGATGGTCATTGATGTCACAGGGACTCCTTTTCTCCAAGAGGTGTTGCAGGATGAGCCAGGCCAAATGGGCTTTGCAGCCCCAGAGGAAGAAGCAAGGTGGAGGAGATGCTGTGGTGGATGTGTCTACGTTCTCAGGGATAACTGTAGCTGCAGCCCATTGGTGGGACACATGGCCAGGGGGACAGGCTTTCCCTGCTCATGGGCAGCAATTTGGACACGAGCAGCCTGTGTGTGCAACTTTTCCCCTCTGTCAGTCAGGCTCTGCCCTTCCTGACACCCTGTGTGCTCTCTGGTTGCAGACACTACCCCAGCAAGGCTGGCCACGGTCTGATGGACACCTGGTATGACAGCCCTGTACCCAGCTACTCCCCCACCAGCCAGATGGTGCCCAGGGAGCATGGGAAGAGCTTCCAGACTGGTAAGCGGTGCCGTTTCCGAGCTGTGCCAGCAGCCTGGGGTGGCCCAGGGTGCTCGGGGAAGGGAGCTGTGGTCTTGGTGGCAGCATGGAGGAGATGCTTGGCTTCCTCAGAGGGCTGCAGGGCTTTTGTGGGGTGTCCATGGGTGCCTCTCACTCCATCGCTGCCTCCTGGCTCTGTGCAGGGTCCCCCGACACCAAGGCGGAGGGGCTGGAGGGACAGATCAACAGGCTGGCCGAGCTGATCGGCAGGCTGGGGGGCAAGGGAAGAGCCCGGGGTTTCGGACAAGGTAAGAGCCAGCGTTTCCATGGACAGGGCTGTCCCTTGGGTGTCCCTTGGAGGTGACCAAGAGGTGGCTGCACCCATCGCGGTGCCATGGCGTGCACGGTTGATGGGTGGGAACTGTGTTGCTGGTGGTGGTGGTGTTGAAGGATATGATGTCTGATGAGCTGATGGCAGCTCTTGGATGTGGAACAATTAACTGGGAGTTTATTTAAAGAAGGAAAAAAAAACATCAGGAAGAAGGCAACACCTCTTGCAGCGGCAGTCTTACCCCATCTAGGGACTGAAGGAGAAAATGTTGCTGTGCAGGAGATGTCTCTGAAACCCTCCTGGTTTGTAGTGTCAGGGCAGAAGGGAACAGGGGGACAGTGGTGCTGTACGTGGGGAACAGAGAGGGGCTGTGAGGACTGAGGGCAGAAAAATGTCCGTCATGGTTGCCTGGAGCATACCCAGGGCTTGGAAAGAGCGAGGGGGCATTGATGAGGGGTGGGTACCCCTGCTCCTGCTCAGGAACCATTCAGGGACCATGAAAAGGTGAAAAGGTTTTGAGGCTGACGCGAGGCTGTGGTGTCAGGGATGTTGGCTCCACCGGGAGCATGGGAAGCTTTTGCAGAGGGTCTTGATGGGGAGGTGCAAACAGCTCTTGGAGCCATTCCATGCAGAAAAGGGGGCACAGTGTGTCACACTAAGGTGGACAGAAACCCACCGGCCTGAGAGGGACCCACAGCATCAGCCCAGCCCTCCCTTTTCCCAGACTCTCTGGTTTGACCTACACCAGCGGCTGTCGGACAGCGAGAGCACGGCCTGCACGGTGAGAGCCCGGCCACCACCCGTGGGGTATTGGGGTGTCCCTGCAGCGTGGGTGCTGGTGGGGGTGTAACCATGTTTTTTGGGGTCTCACACGCTGCTGTTTCGGGGGGGGGGGTGGCCCTGGCAGTACCTGCTCCTGGTGCGGGCTGAGATGACGGTGGCGCACAAGCATCTGGGCGAGTTTTGCAGCTCCCTCAAGCAGTACCTGAAGAGCGTGGCCGGGGAGCGGGACTGTTTCCAGTGAGTACCCCCGGGGCGATTCAGGGTGCCAAGGGGGGAGGTAGCGTTGTCCAGCTGCCCACACACCAAGAGGTACCCAACCAAGTGACAGGCTGAGGCAACAGCCCAGATTTGGGGTGTGGTGGTGATTGGTCACCAAAACCCTTTTGCATGGGCTGGGGAGTGCTGGGAGGGGTAGGGGCTCCCTCAGCCTGGGCTGCTGGGGCTGGGGTCATTCTGCAGAGGCTGAGGGGGAGGGATGCCCCATGATTTGGAGCTCACCCTTGTCCTTACTCCCACCAGTGTCACCGCAGTGAAGCTGCCCGATGGGGTCACCTTCATCGTCTATGAGTTCTGGGAGACCGAGGAGGACTGGAAGAGGTAGGGAAGAGGACACAGAAAGCTCAATTTTTTGAGAAGGGTGCTCAGGCAGGGCTGATGGCAGAGGTGAGGACCTGTCTGACTGTCTGTCCTGTTGCTGTGACAGGGAAAGGAGGCTTGGGAGGTCTCTGTGCATCTCCCACCTGGGGATGCTTTTGGACATGGGAGGTCTCAGCATCCTGACCCACAGCAGGGTGCTTTGCCCGTGGGGAGGGTGGGCACCCAGCCCCTGCCAGAGTTGAGGAGGTTGTGAGGGGAAGCTGGGATGGTGATTTAGGTGGGAGGAGGCCACCACCCGCTCTCTCCCGCCCCGGTGCAGGCACCTGCAGAGCGCAACCTGCAAGGGCTTCCAGCACGTCAAGGTGGACACCCTCAGCCAGCCCGAGGCCATCTCCAGCGTGGCCGTGCCAGGTAGGAGGGCAGCCACGGCGTAGGGTGAGGAACAGGGACCCCTGGCTGTCAGGGAGCAGAGGTGGGCAGGGGGCACAGGGTGGGGGACAGCTTGGGCTGGGCTAGGTGGGATGTGGGGGGGACCAGGGTGATGTGGGACCAGGCAGGGGTGACCCCCCTGGTGCCGTTCCCCTGCAGCTGCCTGGTGCACCCTGAGCCGAGAGTGACCGCCGGTGCTGGGGTGGGAGGTGTCGGTGTGACCCGTCTGCGGTGAAGGAAACCCCTCTGTGTGTCCCCAGCGCCCCACAGGGTCCCCACCCCAGTCATCCCATCACCTGGGTCACCTCTCCTTGGAATGGGGCGGTTTCTTGGGAGTTGGGGTGTCCCCCTGGGGTCCGTCAGGGTCGGGGAGGGCACCCCCCAAGCAGGGTCAGACAGAGAGTGGAGGAGGCAGGGTGCAGGCAGGGGGT